GTGATTGTGCGGACGGCTGATGCGCTTACCGCTTTTAATGCAGTAAAGTTGCCGAGGATATATTCGAACCTTGTTAATAGACCTTAGATAAATGTGAGAATTCAAATTTCAGAACCAGGCTGAAAACAGACCATGATATATTGTGTTTAGGCTTCAGGACGTGATATAAAAGTTGCCACACTCTTCTTCGAAGTCTCCAATCAAGTACTCAAGATGTTTGAAAAGTATACTCAGAGCTGTTCAAATCTGTAGCATTCATTTTGGTGAATCTTCACTCTTTGGCCCCCTCCAACATTTATGATGTGTATTTCCTGTCAAGGCTGGACCAAAATTACAAGGTAGAAAACTAGTAGGTATCAACAATATGACGAATAAACTTGAATAAATCTAGTGAAAACAAGAGAATCTATAGCGCTTCCTACGTGAATACAACCAGTGATGTCACAAGGTCCTTAAACTCAGTTCCAGAGCCCGGACACAGTTTTGCTCCAAAAAGTCGATTTTTTAGCATTTGACAGAAATAAAGTTCACCATTATTTTAAGCACGTTTGAAACTATAGATTGGGCTCATAAAAGAGAGTACGAAAATTTCGTTTCAGTAGCACTTCAAGCTACCCTATGGTAAATCATGTTTTTGTGGGACTTACATGTGAGTGTGTGTTGCCTACAGGGTTTTTTATGGTTTTGGTATCTCTATAGAACATAGTCTCATTGAAAAATTCAATTCATACTCCTTACCCCCTGAAATCAAGCTTTGAATTCCCCATTTGCGCCACACCCATCCAAGATGACTGAGTGTCTATGAAAACAGAAAGCGCTGGTTCTACTGTGGTTGCGAAGACAAATCTTGCCACAAAAAAATTTCATCCTGAAGCTCCTTGAAAAATTTGTATCCTGGAAACATTTGAGACCTTTAAGTTATCCAGATCTGGACACCAATAATAATGTTTGTTTATACATTTTTCTCGCCATCTTCTGCAAATTGAGAACATTGTGGAATATCTAGTATCTAAAAATTTTGGAGAACATGAACCACAACAGCTTATACTTCCAATTTATATTTTGAAGTGAGCGTCTACTTCTTGTGCGTTTCCCGTAGTGACATCACTAGGCACCGACCTCCAAGCACTGAGTCAACTTGAATGGGTGTGGCTTGATTCAAGAAGGATCTTTAAGCACGGATTTCAGGGGCAGAAAAAATTGGAATCCTTAAAAGATTTGAACGGGTATCTATGCTTCATAGAGATACCAAAACTGTGAAAATCCTGTGGGCGATACAAACATTTTCAGTTAATTTTTTAATTGCAAAAAAATAGTAATTTAAGTCAACTGTTAGTCCTTTCACTAGGGTTACCCTTCGTGCCCGTAAACTGGGTCTTAAACTCCAACTGACAGCTGACAAACTAAGAAATTTAATCACTTTAAATTAATGTTAATTTCTGAAATTTTGGGAGCCTAAGCCATCCATACCGGTAGTCATCAAAAATGCACTGTGTATAACTTTTAATCTGTTATGTACAATGCTCTTGTACATTCACTTGGTTATTCAACAAAGCTTTTCCATCAAATTCATAAAATACTGCTTCTCCACCATAGTTTGCAAAACACCTAAAAACAATCACATTTGTTCTGATCAGCAAGCGAACAAGGCACTTCAGTGTTGCTGATAATAATTATTCCTAGTAATTAGTAATTGTTATAATTGTATGTTAAACTGTTTTGTACAATTAGGTGAGTTAATGAGGCCTGAAAATGTCCAAGTTTCACCTCCAAAAACAAAAAAGGAATCCAGAAAAGTTACGTGGAATGGAACGTGGCCTCCTGAGACAGTCTTCATAATTTTTGAACGGTGGCATAAAAAAGGAATGTCAGCGGCCCAAGGTACCTCACAGGGTTGGAGAGAATTTAAACAGGTACAGATTACAAGTGTAGAGGGTACTAATATTGGTCATTGTTGAATACTTGGTATCAGAAGTTTGTATTGCCAGAAGTTTGCGTCTCTGGGATTGGGTCTAGCACTATCGGATTTGAGAGATGACTATTTATTGACCATTTTATTTATTGGACAGTGCCCCATCAAGATGAACCTTTTTAATGAGCACATTTGATTGGCTTGCATTCAGAACAGAACAAAGGTGCCAAGGCTTAAAATTACACATAAAGAAAGGATGGGGGTGCCTGTCGGAAATTTTGAGAAGAACCCCTAAGAGGTACCAAGATCCTGCTTTGTGGGCGTGGCTTGCAATTTTTTCACCCTTAGGAGGTACCAATAAAACAACACCTTATCTCATTATTCATTATTATATGTTTTTGTGGCTCAATTCCCTAAAAGGTACCACAAAAGCTCCCGCTGCGGACCTTTTGAGGTTGAACACCCTAAGAGGTAACAAAACCGCTCTTTTAACCCCTAAAGGGTACCACAAGCACTACGTCCTTTTTATATGATATGGGATTCCATTCATTTTCTTGCAAGTTGTGTGCTTCCTATGAACAATTCTAGCTTTGGCACATGCATCCTTGGTTTGACCAAAGAATATTGGGAGCAGATACTAATTGTTAATTCCCTTCCTGAACGACATTGAGGTCAAAAGTTGAAGACAAAAGTTAAAAAAGTGTCACAGCAGTTTGATATCTCTTGCTTCGTCTTTCTCAGAACTGGTGTAGTCTATGCAATATCCTTCTCTTGCCATTTAAAAAATAAATATTAAATATTTTTACATATGGATTTGCAGAACTTGATTTTAAGACAGAAATGGCTATTTCTCAATTCCTTTTGGACTTTGTTGTCTTAATTTTTCCCGGTTTACTATGAAAATACATGTAACCTATCTTTACTAATGACAAGATGCAAGAACTTAGAAAATGCGCAACTGTCACAGGTTGTAAAAATTTAGGCATCAGTCTCTCTTGTCTGGGTTTTTGACCAAGGGAGAAGAGATTACAGACATTTCAGGCTAACATGGTAACTGGTTACCCTGCCATGCTCTGTGACACAAAATTAAGTCTGTGATGACTGGCACTTATCTCAGGGTCTTTAGGATGAAGCCAATCAAGGAGTGCTTCATGTACTAAAGTGTACTCCCTGATGGGAAAATAGTTCATTGAAAGGTAATGTCCCAGCATTTTGTTAGACTGTCATTGTTCCATTGTTTTATTTGCTGGTGTCTTCTATAAACCTGGGTGGAGAATGACACTCTGAGAAGAGGGTGTAGCTTGATTGCTACTGAGTATTGAACTCAGAATCCTTTAAATGGCAGTAATGAATACACTTATAGCTTGTGTCATTACCTTAATATATTGATTTCTCTGTTTCTACATTTTTGTGCCAAGCTTAACATCTGGTATAATACTACATCTTTCATTATAATTTTAAGAATTCTTGGTTAAATTATAATTCAACATCTTATCTTGGATGTATTGGTTGTGTGAATAGACCATCCTACAGTCCATAACAGTGGAGCTTCAGCCCCTGGTTTGGCATCAATTCAAAGTTTTAGCAGCTAATCAGTACACCACAAGCTCATTTAGTTTACCAAGTAAACTGGAATTTGCTGAGCTTAGGAGCCCAGGTCCCCCAAGGGAGTTCCGTGTACTGTCCATGAGAACAGTCAAGGGGCATGCTGAAGTGGACATTTCATGGAGGAAGCCTGAAAGCAACAATGGTATGACTCAATATGAAAGTTTCTTCTCTTTGCATTTTTGACAATGTGTGGAATTGTTGGAATCTGACACTGGGTGATCTTAAAATTAATATATAGAGGATATTACATGGCCACATGGAGATGGAAAATTCCTCTTCGAGTGTTGAAAAATATTTCATGAGCGAGAGCAGTGAACAAGTGAAATGTTTTTCAACATGAGAAGAGAAATTTCGTATCTCCAAGCCACCATGTAATTTTCTTCTTATTCTATATTAAAATTCTCACATTATATGGCGATTTTCCGAAGATTTCCAACCACTTTCTGAAGATTTCCAAAGATTCGCCAAAATTTGTCCGAAGATATCTGAAGAGTTCGGAAGATAACCGAAGACTTCCAAAGAAGATCCAAAAATGTTTTGATCATACACCAACAAAATGAAGTTCTGTTAAAGGGACAAAAATGTGATCAAAAATGCTATCTTCACGTGTGTGGACAAAAATTATATCCTCATATGTGGGATGTTGTTTTCATCAATTTGCTACCACTCGTTACACCACTAACTTTTATATATGTTCAACTATTACATGGCATGTGTTCACATAAGCCTTTTACATTCACGAGTGGTTTTCATACATATTTCAAAGGGTATTTAGGCAGCCAATCAAAAATGTGCTGTTCCAGAAAATATCCATACTCACCCCACAGAAGGGGTTGGAATTTCTTGGAGGTGGGGGTTCTCTAAGACCAAAACATTTATAGAAATGTATCAAGCTCTATTGGAATTCCCAGAGGGGTGGGGGGTCTTGAAAAAAATCCCTTCTGTGGGTACCTAGGCATCGATATTTTCAGGAACTACACAACACAGAGTTTTCTCACTAGTAGATTAATGAAGGGCACTGAAAAATGCGGGAAAATTGCTTCAGGACACTAGGCATCTGAATAATGACTCAATGAATCCCCCATCTCCTTCACAGGTTTGCCTATCCATAAATACAAGTTATCTTGGAGTATGAGGCCAGACATCCTTTTAGATCAATATGAATCTTTTGAAGTGTCAGAACAACGCATAAAGGGCAACATCCACCAATATTCAATCAATGGGCTACAGCCCAACACAACTTATCTTCTTGAGATTCAAGCAATTTTACGCTTGAATACAAAGAGGGTGAGAAGCTCCCGTGTTACCCTGACAGTTCGGACACCAGCTTTAGCAAAAGGTACTGAGGGTCAAACAGTGACTTATGTATTTTGTTTCTAATTATTTTACAATCAACCATGCAAGGAAAATGATTTGTATTTTTAAGTAATATATCAAACATGTAAGATCATGTTTCCAAACACCAAGGAGAGAATTAAAATTACTACCACTATAAATATGATGCAAAGCGGAGTATTTTTGACAAACCTCAAGGTGTTTGGGAATGAGGTCAAACTGTTTCTTTAGTGTTTGATATTTATTCTCTCAATTGGAGCTACAACTGAGGAGAAAATGGAGAAATAAGGTGGCCCAAAAGACTGTGGGTTCCTGACTGTAAAACAATTTTAAACAACTGGCTATGATTATGAATAAAATCCATAATAATAATCTTTCCCCATCGTACCTAAGACAAATTTATACCAACACCTCAAATGTAAACGCACTCAATCTAAGAAACTCTGAGATAAATTGCTATGTTCCCACACCAAGAACAGAACAAAAGGTAGCCTGCACTACAGAGGATCTGTTCTGTGGAACAAGATTCCCTCAGAAATCAGACGTACCTGCCTAGTTTAAAACTGTTTAAAACCTCACTGAATGGGAAAGATTATTTTTAGTGCACTATAAATTAGAGAAAGTTAAGTTATTCCCCTTGGTAATAACTTAATCGAAAAAAACCAAGTTGTATGTAAATTTTCATCATATACCACTGATGATGACCCTACGGTCAAAAACGTTTTGGTTTTTTAAAAAAAAATTTAGTAACTTTTAGCCTTATATAAAAACAAATTAGAGGAAGTTTTATTACATAGGGTTTTTTTTTGTAGGCTAGTTAAGTAGTTGTTAGTTAATGTAATGTACTGTTAGTTAATGTATTCCTGTTAATATAATAATAATGATATTTTAACGGGAAACTTTCTTTATTCTTTGTAATTTTTTACACAACTCCTAGGAAGACCATTTTTGTGATAAATTTCGTGTTTTACATAAAGATTGATTGATGTATTTGAACAATCAGCTACAGTATTGTGAAAAAGTAATGTAAACGATAATTGTTGAATATCGTGTTTTGCTCTTACAATATTTCGCTGATATATATCTTGGCAATATATTGCAAACATAATCGACGCATTGCAACGATAATTCAACAAGATATTGATGCTTCCTTTGATACCTCGCCGATATATCATTCTTGCGAAGTAACACCGCAGCGATATCTCAAACAGCGCACTACGGATTCATTACAATATATCACTCTAGCGGAGTATAACCATAGCAATATATCGTAGAGTGATAGATGCATCATCACAGTATATTGTTTCAGCAAAATATCACCACAGCGATATATCGTAGAGCGAGTTTTCATTCAACGAAGCGAAACAATAAGTAAAATGTTGAGACTTGGGTTAGCTAGCCTTGGCTGTCACAGATTGTTGCCCAATTCGAAGTCAGAATAAAAAGCTACTAATAATTTGTTGAGAACTAAGTGCAATGTCCGTTGTCAAACTTTTCAACTTACGCTTAAATGTTAGCGACTTGTTAAAGTAAAAACTATAACCTTTGAGTAGGCGAAATAAGTTGAAGTCATAAAAGCAGAGCAAGACAAGGAGAGCCTCAAGAGCAACAAGTGAATGGAATGAGCAACGCTTCTGCACGCGTAATCAAACAAACATATTTTAATTAGACTCAATGGCTCTTTAACTACGCAAATGCATATAAAAAGGCTTTAGAGGCAGTTCATACTCTACTCCACTTGATCTTTAGCTACCAAAAATGGAAAGAAAATTGAAACAGTCGCTTGGACTCCTTATTTTAAAGTGCCTATGAAGTAAAAAAAATAATTGCTGCTTATTTGAAAGGCTTTTCAAAATAAAGAAGAATGGTGTTTTTGGAATTAGAGATATTTACGTTTTTGTATTATGTAAATGTGGAAAGAAATGATGTCATAGGTGGTTCCATTAATACAGTACAACACTCAATCAAGAATATCTCTAGAACTATTAGAGAAATATTCTTTAAACTTGGCACCAGAAATGTACATCACAAAAGAAACAAAATGACATCCGTTGTGCCCTTTGCATGATAACAGTTATGCCGTTGGTCCTGTCTTAATTAAGACTAAAATTCCCAGATTTTATCTTAAACAAGGATCATCCACTCCCAACAATCTAATAAAGAAGTTAAGACAATATGGGAATTATGCATGTTCCGAGCAAAACCCTCTGTCTGACTTCAATGGGTTGTAAATGAGCATCTTTGCTTTTTCACAGAAAGAGACTAGAGCCAAGAGTGTTGCCATGGCAACAACACAGTAGGTCCCATTCTGTTTCTTTTGTGATGTACATTTCTGGTGCCAATTTTGAAGACAATTGCTCCAACATTTCTAGAGATATTCTTGATTCAGTGTTTTACAGTTTAAGTGGAACTACTTATGATGTCATCACTTTCCTCGTTTCAATAGTCCAAATGGTAATATCTCTAAAATGAAAAAGATATTGCAAAAAGGAAACGCCGTTCTTCTTAACTTTGAAAAACCTTTCAAATAAGCAGCAATTATTTTTTACTTCATGAGCACTAATGTTTATTATCTGAAGCGTTCTGTAGATCCTTGTCACAAAAATGATATCTCCGCTTTTATTTGACACAAAAAAAGTCATTCAAACGGTAAAATACTCTTTCCTTGACAAAATACTTGTTTATCAAAGTTTCTATGGCATGCTGGTCGTGTTCAGTTATTTTTTCTTCGCTGAAAAGTTATGTGTAGCTTTGGTACACGTCGGCTGGTTGTTTGCAAAATGGTTATTGTCTGAAGCGTTCCAAAAATCTGCATCGAAAAAAAGATATCCCAGTTCTATTTGACACAAATTATTCCTTCAAATGGTAAAACACTCTTTCCTTGATGAAAGAGTTGTTTATCAAAGTTTCTTTAGCAGGCTGCTCATGTTTAGTTATTTTTTCTTCAATAAAAGTTCTGTGTTTCAGCATGTGTCATCAGATCATGCATGCATTTGCAAAATGTTTGTCTGAAGCGTTCGAAAAAATTATATCTCCCATATTATTTGACACAAATCATTAATTCAAACAGTAAAATACTCTTCTTTAACCAAAGGATTGTTTATCAAAGTTTCTTTAGTGCGCCGCTCACATTTAATTAATTTTTCCTCAAGGAAAAGTTCTATGTTTTGGCACGCTTCAGCAAGTCGGTTGTTTGAACCAAGTTTACTTTCTATCAAAAAATGTTATCTGTCAATTGTATTTGCTCTATGAAAATGGGATTGTTGAAGCATCTATCCCCAGTTCTGTTTGACAGAAGGCAGTAAATTTTTGATTCAACGGCCAATGTTCAATAAGAAGGTTTTACAGGTGGTTCATAATCTAGGGGGTAAAAAAGCAGTGGATGGTTTTCAAAGTTTTACAAATATGATCAGCCAACGACATGGGGAGAGAGAGATTGGGGGAGAGTGAAACAAACAATTATAAATTACACAAGCCTATGAACAGACCATTCCAGACCATTTTAAAAAAGATTTGTGGAAGTTGGCAAACTGACATATAAACATTGGGGAACTGATCCAGGACATTGGCCAATCAACTTCATACTCAGTATGTTGGCAAACTGATCCTTGGCGAACTTACATAATGTGAAGTTTATATGAATTAATTCATATATGAACTGCGGTTGTAGATGAAAGTGAAGAAGCATCGCACCAGTATCGCGGAGGTCACAGGTTCGAATCCCGTTGAAGTCCTGATTTTTTCGGGCTTCTTTCCAATTGCTTAAATTGGAAAATTTACTGCAATGATCATTCTTCACTTTCACGAACTTACATGTTGGCCAAATGACAGGTTACCATCAGAAGCAATATATTGCTAAGCTGCAGTGATAATTTGCCGGGCAAACATGATAAATCCCTATATAGGGTGCATTGTTGGGTGAAAACAATAAATCATTTGGCGGAAACGATATATCACTCGGTGCAAACGATATATCGCTCAGTTCAAACGATGAATGGCTCTGTGCAAACAATAAATGGCTCTGTGCAAATGATAAATCCCACAGGACTAAGCAAAATATTGTAATAGCTACAACAATAGCTCTGCGATATCTCACGTGACATGCGATATATCGGTTCAAGCAAAATATCTTTCAAATATTACCGATATATTACGATTATCCCACTATTCGTTGATTATCGTTTGCATTACTTTATCACAATACTGTAGCTTTATTTTTAATAATGATAATACCAAAAAAAAGTATATTCTTATAATTAGTATAATAATATTTTTGCCCCCATGTGTGTTAGTCATTTGTTTTCCTCTTTTTTTTTGTTCAGTATCAAAGAAGAAAACTAAGGTGGCAAAAAATTCAATTTCAAGTTCAACAAAATCTACAAATGGAAAAATGGCTGTAGTCTCGAAACCAACAATACAGGGTAAGCATCATAGCTTGGCTCATCTGGATTATCACAAAGTTGTTAAGGTGCCAAATGTTCATGACCAAACCTGCATCAAACACTTACATGTATGCAGTGTTCCTATGTACCAAATTATGTGAGTCAGTAAAGACCTTGATACAGTCTTGAATACTGACCACATTTAGTGTCTGGAGGCTTCTTAAATGTGCCGTGAATAACTCTCAAACAAGATCTTTTCATGAATGTTTATTCTGGACATTACTAACAATAGTTTTGGTTTAATTACAACTACTGAGGAAAACAATATCTATTATACAGTCAAACCTATTATTGAGCTGTAATACACTTGGGAAATGGCCACTAATATTTTAACTGACCATTGGTCCTTTAAACGGCAGCGACTTCTGAAAAAAACTTAAAATTAACAGTAACTGAATGGTGCAATTTCCCAGACCTTGAAGACTGAACAGTTAATATTGAACATTGGGTGATTCCAGAAATTATCCACACCTATACCACAGGCGGCTTTTTGGAATTCCAAGGGCAAGGGGGGTTCTTTGAACTGGAAATCTAAGGGCACGAGGGTACTTACGATTGGAATTCCGATGGCATGGGGGGTGGGTCTAGAGGGGACAGACAAGAGTGTGAAAGTACAAATGAACTGACCATACTGCTCACTACAGCAGAAAGCATGTTACAAGACAAGCATCAAACAATTACGCATGTGTTTACATTCATTTACAAAAGAAATGCGATAAAAACTGGGTTGTACATTGGGCTCCTGAGAACTTAAAGCCAATGAATTTCTTGTCAGAAAACTGTTTGCGATGAACGCCGACCCACGATGTTTGTTTACCTTGTGCCAGCAATACATATTCATAAAGAAACCGCTTTAATCACGTCTGAACAAGTGAATGTCGTTCCTGAATATCGACGGTAAATAAGGCAGGATTTGCCCACACATGTTCTATTTTCCATAGTAATTAAGGGAGTGAGGCATGTTTGAGTTTGGTTTCAAGTTCAAATTCGAGTTGGATTTCAAGTTGGACTTTGAGTCAATAATTTAAATGCAAGTTGATAATTGATAATAATTAATGTTAATAATTTAACCTTGTTCAAAAGCAATGAAGGGTAACTCAGATATAGGCAGCTCCTACGCCAAAAAAGATGGATTGTATAAGCAGATGTACAAGATGGGTGAATTTGACCGTGACGTGAAAAAATTGAAACTTGCCACAAAAAGAGGATGAAAAAGGCGTTATACTATCACCTTTCTAGTGCCTTTTTAATGCATAATGAGCTCAAGTTAACAAACAATTGTTTTTTTTTCCGCTGTTTAAACAATAACATTGCTGACACATACCAAAATATAGAGCAGTGATATAGATTTTCAACAATGTGTGGTACTATTTGTCACTTCGGATGGGTAATACCGTAAACCCCAGGGGATAAGCCACACCTTTTTCCTCAAAATTTCCCTTAAAAATTGGGGATGCAGCTTATCTGCGAGAACATCTGGACAACATGCCACAAATTTGCATAAATTAACACTTTCTAAGTTTGTATTAAAAGCAAACTAATAAGACTTAATAAAACTAGTAATTTCAGAGTAAGCATTTATCATTGCTTTTGCAAGTTTGGTGGCTCCTAAAAGAACTGTTAGCATAAGCTTACATTTCTTGCTGTTAAACACTGTTAAACCTTCATTAAAAATCTTTTAGCCAGTTTAAGGTGTCCACTTTAGAGCAGCTAAATGTCGCATGGCAGAGAATCTCCATTCTGGCACAAAGCTGTTCTTTTCATTGTTGCAATGAGCTGTGATCGAAACCTACTTGTGTCCAGTACTCCACAAATGAACAAAAGTGCTGTTGTATGTAGCATTCTATTGGAAAACTGACGGGAATGAAAAAAGAACCCTGGTTGAAAAATACCAGAGAAAGATCAAACATATGTCAAAGTTGGTAGACATCATGCCCATACTATTGGAGAACTAAAATTATAGGTAAGGGTTTCATTTGAAGTATTCTCTATTTTCAGATTGTGAGGTTTTAATACATCAAGAACTGTACATGAAAAGAATCTTTCTCAAGACTCCACTTGGGAATTATTTTGATTTCTTTCCAAAACCCTTTTTCAGAAATTTGAGTTACCAAACTCGGGGTGCGGCTCATCTGTGAGTGTGGCTTATCTGCCACTGTTTATGGTGACAAATTTTCCCCCTAATAGATGATTTCATATGATTCTGGATAAAAAATATTTTTAATTACCTTAGTTTCTACATTTCATTTCTTTCTACATACACAAGTTTACACTTTATTATTATTTAAAATAATTAAGTTAGAAACTTAAATATAGTGACAGATGAACCCGCAGGCAGTCATGGCTAATCTGCATGTAGGCAGGCCACATCTAATGTAAGCCAATCATATATAGACACTTGCAAAGTAAAAACACAACGGAAGTCAGCAATTACTGTCACTTAAAACAACAAACTGGCTCTTCACAGTCAGTTTGGAAAACAGTCGGTTTGGATGAAACACCAACTTTGAAAAGAACAATTGAAATTATTTCTTTTGAGTCTATTTCTCTAAAATTCAACACATCAAAATAAGCTATTTCTGAACGTGCATTTATACTCTATGCAATCTGCTATTTAGACAATATCATATCATCTGATTAGTGAACTGAAAGGATGCCAGTTGACCAAAAATGTTCTTTAGGTCCCCTTTTCCCATCTTTGAAATTAGGAGGGGAGGGGGTAATTTGTCTTTGAAAAAACACTTGACGATTGTAGCTCGGATTTGATTGCAGTCATCTACTCTTATAAAAACCTGTGGAGGAGGCAGGACTGTGAGCCATTAGAAATGGTAACCAGACTGATTGTTTCCTTGCTGAAAACAGGCATGTTTCAGCATAAATTTGCATTTGAAAATAAATCCTTCAACTGCAGGTCTTCATAAAGTAAATTAAACCTACTTTTCCATTGCTAATGCCACAATGGCCAGCAAGCAGGCTAATGAGAGGACCTCAGATCATACCATTGTTATCCAGGAACTGTGTGATTTGACATATAAAGATGACCGAACGGAGAAAAGGTTAGAGTCACACGTCAAACGTCACACCACTTGTACTTTCTTAATAGAGATGGACACTGCTTTCTTTTGATGTACATATTTTTTTCATGAGAGAACGTTGGCTCAAGGCCGCCTTGGTTAGCATCTACATTTTGCGGCAAAGTAATCCTTACCATCATTTTTCGTTTATGCCATCTCCGATGATGGGGGAGAATTGCAAGTATCTCAGCGGGGTGTGGTTACATGAACACCTCACCTCCCTCCTCCTCCTCCATTTTTTTTGTTTAGTTATTTAGTTATTTTTATTTGTTATTCTTGTATTTTTTGTTTGCATTTTTTATTAGTTCACGCAAACTTTATCACGAATTCCAACTCCAACTTTTACTTGTCCAACTTGAACTTTGACCCGAACTCAAACTTGAATCCAAACTCAATTGTTCAGGATTCCCAGTAATTCACAAAACAATTGAAATTTGTATTCCTTCACTAGTTTAGTCGAAAACTAGTTACAAAATTGTGACTGAAGAGGAGGAAGTTTTAGTCACCAAACATTTAGTCTCAAATGCATGTGATCATATCACAATTTCAAGCCCTGTAGACAGTAAATAAATTCTGTTGGTAAACTTCTAAGAAGATGTAAAAGTGTCATTAAAAATCTCTTTTGTTGGAAGTCACGAGTCTAGGAAGTCAAACTATGATTCCAGATGGTTGAAGTAAAAAATGGAAATCCAGAAGGGAAGGGGGGTTAACAAGTTTGGAATTTGGAGGGTATGGCAGGGTAGAGCATTTTAGAACTTCTGAGAACTGGAGGGGGGGGTTCAAATGTTCATGCCGCCCATGGTTGGGTATGGATATTTTCTGGAATCACTCACTGAAATTTCTGTAGGGGTCTAGGAGGTATTTAAACCAAAAGCCTCAAGTTTATTGTGAGTGGGCAAGGGATTTGGGATATGGAGCAAAACAGCTACAAGTGTGACTGTAGTAGCTTACTTTACAGGAATCAGTTTTTCAGTTTGTTTATTAAGTGTGTAAATTTATATTTTATTACACAGGACCTAATTCAAAAAGCATTTATGTTTCAACTCCCCCATCACAAGGTAATTTCTAATAAAATTCTACTTTCACCAGTAACTTGTTATTATTTAATTCTTGGTCATATCAGAATGTAGTGATCATAATATAATATTAGACTACATGATCGCACACTGATTACATGACAAATAGACACACAGAGAACCAATGACGATCGAGAATCTTGGTATAGATTAGAAATTATAACTGTTCAAACTATAACTATATTCATGCACAGCCAGTGAATAAATTATCTCAAAAATGTAACCACTTGATAGGCATAAAAATAAATCTCACCTTTAATTAAACTCTGTCATTTCCTCTTCAGCCTCAACTCCTCAAAGAAATGGAACAGAATCCTCAAATCTGAAAGTACAAAAAAGTGTGGCTGTTTTAATTAATGTACTAGGGCTACATACAGATATATTGATAGCCTTAGTGGTTATAATAATGTGCTACCTTTGAGCAACAATATTAGCTTCTACACCGGTCGATCTGAAATTTTAATTTCTCTCTTCCCACTCATCCTTGTGAAACATTCTGAAAAGCAACGTTTTCTAGGAATATTAACTGTATGAGATCTTAAGACACACTTGGAAACCTTTTAATCTGTTACTTTTCATAAATGTCTCCAGTGACATCAAATTGAATGCATGGGGCAAATCAGCATAAAATATTGCAGTTACAAATTGATCGGTGCATAATTAATGCTTATTGCAAAAAAAAAAGATGGAGTTTCATATAAATCATAATTCAACAGTGAATCTTCAAGCAATTTGGCATTCAAGATGATTAATATGCGGTGTTTTAATTGAGATTCACAATAAGGAAAGGGATATTTAATTGGGATATTAAGAAGGAGGGGATTCTTTAATAATAATTATTATTGTTTTTGTCATTTGAGAAATGTTAAGATACAATTCAGAGTTGGACTGACTGGATGCAGACCATGTAAATAATTGCTACGGTTTATATTCTTTAGTTAACTAGAAACATAGTTTCAAAATATTTTTATATTTATGATCCAGTCAGAAAATTATATTTTAATGTTTGGTTTCAGGAATTTTGATACAACTTTATTTCATCTAAAATTTTGAGACAAAGAATACAAAAATACACATGTACACATGTATCTTTATTTAAAATTGAAATGGAAATGGTTCTTCAATTTCTTGGTCTGACAGCTGTCTCACACTGTCATTAAATTGCTCTTAAAAGTTGGTTTAAAGCAAAATCAACCAGGATGTTTACCTTCAAAACCTCTTCACTTCCAAGTGCGTGATGTTAACCTTTAATTTGCTTTTTTACCACTTGCCGTGTGGTTGTGGCATTTTAAGTCCGTTCTGAGAAGTTCATGGTACACCAAGACCAATAAGTAATGAGAAAGTATATCTTGATCATTCGTGATAGCAAAAGTTATATAATTATATTTCACGAAATTAAATAATTTCAAAGCTATCATGATTGAGGTTATCATCTACGTTTTATTAATTTTAGAAAACACCCTGAACAAAGCATTTGCTAAATGCCATATACTCAGTAGAACATAGAACTAGCGTGAGCTTTTGAACTAATGATGGTGCAAGCAAAGAGAATTTACACTTTGACAATCAAAGTAAAAATGCGAGTTTCCTTTCTTTTTCTCAGTTGCAGTGTATTCTTAAAGGAATGGAAAACATATTTCCTCTGTTTCTATCGAGTTACATTAGAAACACTAGGGAAAGTTTGGAAGAACTCAAAAATGCTGCGGAAACACTTGCCTGTGACTTGTGCTCCCAGTATTGCGTGTTCTCCCAAACTTCCACTAGTGTCACTAATTGACAAATTGACGTCAGTTTTTTTATGCATCTGTCCTCTTATTGATGATAAATTGGGTCATAACATTGCCAAAGTGGCTGTGAAACCACGAGCTGCAGGCGAGTGGTTTGGCAGTAAACTTTGACAATGTTATGACGAAATTTATCGTCAACAAGAGGACAGATGAAAAACTGATGTCAATTTGTTTTTCACAATAACAAGACACCAAACTGGTCAAATGCCAGGAATAAATGAGGGGAAAAGACGCATAAACTTACCATAAACAGAGATAAGTGAATTTTATTCAAAATGATGCGAACATTGCCAACAGCTTTTCTTGCTCTTTGATTGGCTACTTTAAAAAATAGGCCATAAAATCTCATCGGTTAAAAAGTTGACAGTTTGACAGCTGAAAGTTGAACTTGAAAGCTTGCATAAATTAGGACTTTATCCGTCTGTACTCTTGATAAAAATGAGCCAATCAGCGCACGAGTAGTTAGACAGTTATTGTAAAAAACTCAATAAAAACAAGGAAAATGATTCACTCTATTTCTTAAATATTTGTCAAGTTCATAAGAAAAAATTGCCAGGTTGTAAAAAATGTGGTAAATGTATCATAACATGAAATATGGGGCTAGCCCTCCATCCATGTCAAGTTGAGTTCTCTAAAGTAAATAACTATTACTTTGCTGAATACAAAGTGTAAAGAACATGCCTGTTCACAGATCTGAAAATCACATCCAATGGACGAGTACATACAGGGCTGGCTGTATCAAAAGGAAACACAACCAGCCACAGCTAGCTAGTTAATTTCAGTCTCTACTGCAATTGACACCCTGATTCAAGGGGATGGCAAATGGCAAATTCCAAACTTGGAAGGCGAGCCTTATTGGTACCTTGTCTACAAGCCTGAGACTTTCTGAGCCTAATGCCAAAGAAATCAAGACTCTGTGGTAGTAAAGTTTTAGTTAGGAAGACCCATAAAATTTGTCTAAAATTCTGAGACAAGCTTATTTTGAAGGGTGTTTTGCCATCCCTATTTAAAAACTGCTGCCTTTCAGTATGCCATCATCTTTGTTCATAGCTATTGCTAATTCAAATCAGCAACTTCTTTATCAGTTAAAAACAAAATATTGACATGAATTATTAAACAATGAATGATACTATATGGCTTCATGCTGCACTGTATTCTTACAAAATGTGACATTATTGGGCTGTGCAAAGCCTTCATTTGAGTTTTCAAATCCTTTGCCACTTGTTCTTTTGTTCAATTCGTGACATAGCAAACAATCTTTACATGCTGATCATTTCTCAGTCAATCAGAGAGGCACAGCATGCATATGATTGTGATTTACTGGCATGTTGCTGACCCAACATAATAAGTAAGCATATTAAGTTAAGTGGCAACAGTAAAAGGTTTGTGATGCCTGATAAGATAAATGTGTGATGGAATTTAATTTGTGCATGGAGTCATTAAAACTATAATTGCTGAATACAGTTATAAACAGAAAAAAATTGTGCTTTCCCAGTTAGAGGGATTTTCATTAATATGTAAACTCTTAATTATTTTGCTGCCATCAGTTGTCTGTTATGTGCCAACAACCTAAAGGGTTTAAAAGGTCCATTTTGGCTTTTTGGTGCATTTGGGTATTTTTAGGGTTCATTTGGATGAGTTATGATTGACAGCAAATTGCAAAATCCATCATTTGTTGGCTTCTTCATTGAAGAGTTTGCAGATTACGGAAAATCTCTGTGAGGTATCAGTTTCGTTATTTCTCTGTGTGTAGAGTCCTATACATTGGAAATAAGTTGATAAATTTAATTGCTGGTCAAATTCCCATTTTCAAAATATGCAGTCTTATGTTACAAAGAGAAATAATTTAGAAATGGATATATTTTGTTACAAATTAATGGAAAGAGTTTTCAGAAATAAAATTTCTTCTTTTCATTATAATCACTGTTGCTCCTCAATGTGTATTTGATATTGTAAAGTAGGATTAACATCTTTTGAACAAGTCTTGGCCTTTAGTTAATACACTTGTGACAATCACAACTGTTGTAATCATTACTAGTACCTCGCCTTTTTCAAGGCTAGCAAAATATCTTGTAATGGTGGAACCCTGTGATAAGTAAAGGTCCAGAGACTGAGAAAATGGTTTTATTTTAATTGTCTATTTTATGTCATCTTTGATTTACAATACTACTAAATTGAGCGACCAGGACGCTTATTTCAAATTTAGGAGAAGATGGGGCACGCTTATTCGAGAGAGGCACATATTTAATTTTTCTCAAATCATGGTCAGATGATCGTTTTTTTGTTTTTTTTTGTAATATATATACCATGTAATCCCACTTTAAAGCCCTGGGCTTATATAACTTCATAATGGTTTTTGGGTGGGCTTATAAACAGGGAAGGGGGAGGAGGGGAGGGGGTATATCTGGGGAGCATATAAGCAGAATAAAAATGTTTCGGAACGATGAGATAAAATGTATCTGAGTAACGAATTAAAGCTAACATATCAATACATTTAGAGCTATTACCCTGTTATTACTTTCAATTAGAAATTTATATATATCTGATAGGGCTTATATCCAGAGTAATGTCTTTGTTAGCAAATAGAAGGGTTTATGTGGGGGGTGGCTTTAACATGGGATTTCACCGTATACATGTATGTGAGAGTCCCTCAGAAGTCTCAAAAGGATCGTGTCAATTTTGAAGAACTATGTAACATAACTCCCATAGCTGGTCTTGGCCTGCTGTACAAGGATGTTTGGGCTTTAGTATTCAATGAATCAGTGGATCTTCACTACCATCTGTTGAATTGCGACGGTCAGTGTCCAGTGCTTGAAAGAGTCAATAATCACATACACTACCAAAACTATACATGCTTGTTGTATCAATACTCTTCCATAAGCAGAGGGAGGGGATGGGAGGGGAGGGGAGGGGGTACTTACTTGAGGAGAGGCATTTATTTTAAATTTTGGCCGATAGGAGGGAGGGAGTATTTGACAGGAGGTGCTAATTCAAGGATTTACAGTATCCCTTGTTCCCTGGAAATAAACATTAAATTACAGTAAATCCTCGAATTAGTGCCCGGGGTGCTTATTTCAAATTTAGGAGAAGACACGGGGCACTTATTCGAGGGCGCAGCTTAATCGAGGGGAGGGCACTTATTTAATTTTTCCCAAATCGTGGCCTGACATGATCATTTTTTTGATACATCATCTGCACGTAAACAACAACATAAGCCGTTTATCGACATTAAAAGCTGAACCTAAGTTTAAATCGCGGCGCTGTTAGTACTTAATGTGTTCAATATGTTGACTTAACGTGTTCACAAACTGAAACCATGTACAAATCTAATACTACGAGACGAAAACTATACATCATTTATTGTCTCGTTACTCGTCCACAAAATGGGGGGAGAAGGGGGGGGGGCTTATTTAAAATTTTGGCCGATAGGAGGGGCGTTTTTTTGAAGGGGGCACTAATTCGAGGAGTTACGGTATCTGAAGAATATGATCTCTTGCTTCCATAGAATACAATGGAACCCAGCTCTATACTGTCACCCACTTTTAAATGATAATACGGACACCCGCTTATCATAAACACTTTTGTTTATCCTAACAAGAAGCTTGAATATTCTCTCTGAAATACGTACGTTGTACACTTAAGTCGACAATATTTATTCAGAGAGCCCTCTTAATGCGGGTACCCGGACAGTCCACTTCTGTCTCGGGACTTTCGTGCGTCCCTTTAGTGTCGAACGTATTACTTGCCCGTTGGAGGAACGTTCTTCTTTGCAATGGAGTTTAAAAACTATCAATCCATGTTATATTTTGGTAAGGATTCTATTTAGCTTATGTAGCGTTACCTTATCGTGTATGTTACTACACAGCTTTACTTGCTGAACCATTTGAATTGTGGAAAACATGGCCTCAGTACCCTCCTCTACTCTGTTCTGTCCAGTCCTTACGCGGCCTTTCACGCGCGGGCGAGTGGGCCGGGCAGGTGGCATGTCGTAATTTCTGTGGCTGGTCTGTGGCCCGGGTTGTTCTAGCCTGCGTAGCCAGGCGTTTCCAGGCGTTTCCAAAAAAGCACAGGAAGGAAACGAAACTGCAAGTGAGTGCGAAAAATAAGGGGGAGGAGGTGAGGAGAGATCACCCCAGGCCCGCTCCTTCGCTCATCCGCTTGCTCGATCTCTCCGTCTGGAAAAGGAAAGGAAACGGCTGCTACGCAGACTAGGGTTGTTCGAAAGGTGGATAACGCTGTCCATCGGATAACTCACTATCCAGTGGATAGTGGCTGACACTTATCTATGGTCATCTATCTTTTGAGCAACCGGGGCCTACTTTTGTGTGCGGTATACCAGGGTGTACGAACAGCCGACAATGATCACCCTTCATCTCACGGTTCGTCTTGAGAATGCGACTAAGGACAAAGCGTCAACCAAGCCGAAAATGGTCTGGGACTGAAATAAAACGCGCCTGCTTACGTCTTGTTTTTGTTGTCCGAAAGACCGTAGTTTTTGGGATATTAATAAGTTGGAGGTTAGTTTTCCATTCCGGTTTGCTTGGGGTTAGTTCCACGAAGGTTTGCCCGATTTGCTTGCGGTTAGCTTTCATTTTGTAGTTTGGGCAACACTATGAGAGACCAGGAGCCATAATCGGGGACGGAGACCGTAAGCGCATGCCATTTTTAGTTTTGGGGCTGTCCCTATGATATGGGACAATTTTTCTATTTTTAGAACAAATTGCGCCATCCCTTGCGGCACACGCGCGTACATGCTGCGAGGATTTTTGCGGATGTAGCGCGGGAAAATGGCGTCCGAAATTCCCGAAATGTTTGATGCTTTTAGCCCACAACTCAATGTGCTCATGTCTGTTGGAATTTTACTTCAGTATTTTCATCGTAAGCTGCTTCAGTTTAAGTGAAGTAATAGGCCGCTTTACATCACTGACCAAGTTGTGTTCCGCTGGTTTCTTTTACAAGAGCTCCACATTACTCCGCTCTAAGTTTCACATATGTTGAAGATTAACAGCTTTTCCAAAACACAGCAAAAAACTAGTTGGATATATTACCTAGTACCCAGCCAGCGAAATGGTTAGTATAGTTCCTAGGCCTCGATATTTCGCCTCGGTCAATCGTTTTCGGGCCGTTCATCTCGGATACGTCACCGAAATCAATTGACCGTGAAGGACTGCGAGAAAGCCGTGCAGGAACTAGGCAAGTGGTTAGTGAGCTTACAATCCAGTCGGACAACCCGGGTTCGACTCATACTATCCACATACCTGTTATGGTTCTTTTTCGTTGAGTAAAACAAGTTTTATAGGAAAAAATTAGTTTTGTAATAAAACTAAGTCTTCGGTGACTCGCTTTCCCTAGTTGCATATTCATTTTGACGCATACTCCGTTTTCTGAAAATCTTTATAGCGTAGCTTCAGCCCGCGAATAAAACTAGCGGGGCACCATGGGTAAGAATTTCTGGTTAGACTATCAAGCCGAGAAAGCGTCCGTTAGTCTGTACAGACTCTTTGCGGCTCTAACCCAAACGGGGGAGCTCGAGAATGCCATCTTTTCTTGGCGGGAAATCGCGCGTACGTAAGACTGCGCCAGGGCGCCTATAAGTAGGGCGGTGAAACGAGCGGGTCCGAGCAAAAAGGTGTGATGCAGTAGACTGGGGTCTACTAAAACGAGCAGATTCCGCTTACTTACACTGGAACTTACATTTCTAAAGAAATTCCACGAAACTCCCTTCTATATGAGGAAGGAAGGTTTTTGGTGCATTTTTGTTCTGAGGCAATGGGAAAAGGTGAGTTTTTCAGGTTGCCGGAAAACAGGACTTCATATTTTGCGCTGTAAGATCTGCTCGCGCTAGTTGTACGCGTAATCTTTTGCATTTCTTTTGACTTGCGAATAAACGTCATGAAACTCTTTACTTTGGTATCCCCGGTTAATTTGTGCGTTTCTCATAACAATCAAAATAATGCTTAATCATAACCAAAATCTGTTTTCGACCAGTTTCGTATTGTTTCTGCTTGTTTGGCGAGCAGGAAAGTCTGACATGTACAAGTAACTAATTTGCATAATGTAGCGCGTGCAATTTCAAGTCCGAATCGGTGTTTTTAATTTCTTAATATAAAATCTTGTCAAAGTATTTTTTCCCCATCTTTTGTGCTGAGATGATGCGATAATTTTTGCCAACGCTAAAAGGCTACTAAGATCACGGTTTCTTCATAGTAAAATTTTATACTGCGAAAATGAAGAAGACAAGGAGTTTTGAGAACTCGAACAACAAAATGAAATTGTTATTCGGGTTGATTGAAAAGTGCTACCGTAATTTTGCAGATTTAATATCTCTGCTGTCTTCCCACATTTCCAGCTAAATTTCTAACATGTTCTCAAATATTTATCAAATCAGTCAAACATATATAAAGCTAGAGATATTGTTTGAGTTCGATGTGCGTTTTTACACGAGCTGCGTAATTGAAGTCAATTTGTCATGTTTAGCTACAAAACACGGATCGCCGGGCGCTCCTTTTCATCGAAAACCAGCGATTAATTGGATTTTCACACAAACAAAACTGAGCAGTATTTACAGACGAAAGTTCTTATG